GCAAAAAATAAATAAATAAATCACATGAGCATCATTCTGTTTTACACAGAAACCAAACATACAGAGGCAAAGTTGGAGGACGGCATTACCTCAGGGCGTTTTCTTTCTCTCTGCACTGCTGCTCCAGCTTTAGGATCCTCTGCCTCAGTCCATTGATAACCTTGACAAAGAGGATCAGCTTTTCTTGTTATAAACACATCCTAAAAATTACATTTATTCCCGGCATGTTCACCAACCCACTGGGTATACTCACCACGCTCCCTTCTCTTTTCCTATCTACCAAACTACGCGTATATTCAGATCCCTACAGGAAAAACATTGCACAGTTGGGGGGGGGTTTTTTCCATCATTTTCGTTTCTTTGACAAAAAACACTACACACAAATAATTTTCTGTTCTTACCTTAGTGGGATCCAACAGTGATTCTATCTGTTTCTCTCTCTTGGCATTATCTTCCTCCAGGCGTCGTAGTTTGGCTTTCATTTGCTGGTTGTCAGATTTCTGCTCATGAAGGCTCTGCGGAGAACAGCACCAGTGACTACTCAAACATATAATAAGTGCATAAGGATTTACATTTTAAAGAAGCCTGACTAAATTAAAGAAGAAAAATGTAAAAACATATTTTTCTTTTTGAGAAGAAGAACAAAAACGAGATGGAAAAGTCACTACACCGATGTGCAGGCATGCATGTCTTACTCCTTACCTTCTTGAGGTGAATGATCTCATCGTACATGTCCTCCTTCTTCATGAAATCACTTGTAACTAAAGTCAAACCTGCAAATGAAGGGAGAACGTAAATGATTTCACAAAGAAGACAACACATGCTTGGCTTTGTAAGTCGTGAAAAACAACACTGACTGCACTAATATCACATCATACTCCCTTCACAGCCAGTATTTTTCCTTTTTTTTAAGCGTCTCCTGTTCAGCACAAAAACCTGACCTTCAGCTCTGTCTCCCTCTTCGCTCCATTTCTAAGTCTGATACACAAACTCGTTCTCTCACCGTTGGAAGCAGAGCGGAGATGTTTGGATTTCCTCGTGCTCAGGGTCTGCATGAGGAGCTCCGGTGTGGCGTCACACTCTGATCTCAGAGTTTGAGACACATCTGAAAAAGAGAAACAGACAGAGGCTACTTGTCAATGTGCTCCGGTTTCCTGATTCATTTGGCCGATTTCTATTGTTTTTAATAACGCAGTGTTAGATGTCTGTGCCATGCTTGTTTTTAAGCCTAGATGATGCGCTAATAAACATTAACAAGAAGTTTGGCTTACACAAACTGTTCCAACACGAGTCAATACTGCATCTGACTCATGCCTTTTCACACTTTTCGAGGACACGCTGCAGAGCATGAATAATGCATTTAAGTTCAGATATGTGACAAAATCACTGCAAACCTATATTTCCCTTTACCTCCTTGTTTTTGCTGTACATCCTTCCATAAACTGTTTCATTTCAAGCAAGCAGATAAACCCATTCACTGTGAATGTATTTATGTAGGCACCATTCACAGAGCTTGTTGTGCCTTCATGACACCTACCAAGGCCGTTGCTGAGGGAAGTAAGGCGAGCTGGGCCAGTCTCCCCGGGAGTGTCCAATCTGGTGTCCCCCAGAGAGGCCCTTGGTAGTCTCCAAGCACCCACTGCTGCTCTCCTGTGATTCACATTCAGACTGGTAAGGTATGGAGACCCTACAAATACAAAAGCAAACATAACTTTCAAGGTGGGTTTTCCCAGTCTGAAAATACTACCTACAGTGCAGCCGAACAGGACTCACCTGGAGAAGGAGGAGGCTTGCCAGAAGAGACTTTCTTTTTCGTTTTCTGATAGAGGACAAACACGAAGGGGGCAAAGCAGATGACAGGGGTATTTATGAAACTGATTCCATGCGGAAGAGCGCGTCGAAAGCAAAGGAAATATCCCAGCCATAAAAACAAAGACATGACGATGTGTTCATGTGGCACAGATTAGATTCACGAGTCCATTTGTTTACCTTTACTGGAACATCAGCAGGGAGCGAGAAGCCATCCTCAACCTAGGAAGCGTAAGACACCCATACTAAGACAGAAATCCCCTCTGATTGAGAAGTCAAAAGTGCTGAAAACAACTGCCATAAACTACCATGGCTTTAAATTATAGAACCTTATAGGCTTTTAATAAGCAATTCCAAAAAGAACCACTGTAAAGTCAGTTTTAAGTAAGCAGCTGTATCTTTAACCCAGCCAGATCAGAACACTCACCAGCTCCTCGTAGTCTTCATCTGTTTGGACATCACTCGCCTGAAGAGACATCTTAGCATTGGCACTGAACATCGCTAGTAAATAAATGTTATGTTAGGTTGGAAAACTCGACTTTTCCCACTTCTAATTCGGTCATCTTTTCCCAACTCCCAAATCTTACTTCACGTCGCCTCCTCTCTTGCTAAAAAATACACAGGGGGGCAACAAAAGAGACGCTAGCTATGCTACAACTGGGAATTTACGTGTTTTGGGACAGCTAACTTTCCTTAATAATAAGCAGTTCATACGGTAACGTGGGCTGTAGAGCATAGCTTCCTTAAAACTGTTAAAATGCTGCTGTCTTTCGGTACAGAGGTTACTGATTTCTCGTCGGCGTCGCAGATTGAGTCGTCTAGCAACCAGGCTGCCGTTAACCAGCGATGTCACTTTACCAAGAAAAAATCCGAGCTGCGCCGGAACTTTATGAGGACGTCTTCAAAATAAAAACGTAAACGCGTGACAGACGATAGTAAACGTGACGCGTGATGCTTATCTTAATTTAATGGTAGTTTATGACATAATGTGTTTTAAGTTGGCAAACTACGCTTCGATTTCAAGCGAAGGGCAACGCACTTTTTTAAACAAGAAACTTATTTTGAAAATATCGGCCGGTTGTACCCGTTAGCTTTGTTTACCTTGATAGAGCACAGCCCAGGTAGTGTTTTGCCCGCTGCTCTCGAAGTGGTGCTACAAGGAAGGGCTGAAAGTGGGTTCTTCCCAGGATCATTCAGGTCCGTGGGACACATACAGCCCAATTTGATCCTATCTGGGGTGGACCAAAAAAACTCCATAATTTACAAAACAGATGATTAACAAATGGAAGTGTGTTAGTTTTTACTTGTGCATTAGAGCTTACACCGCTGTAATGCATCATAGTGGATATACAAAGGCGCAAAAGCTTCACGTGCGTTTTAAAACTAAAGAGTAACAGTATTTTTACTCCTTTACGATCTAAAAAACTTGAGATATCCAATATAGCATTATTATCGACTTCTATTATCACTTTGCAAAGACATTCAGTTGGCCAGATATGACCATTCTGAAGTCCAGTTGTTCGAACCCATTCTTAGTTCCATATAGCATGAGTCAAGGGGATGAGGATGTAAAAGTAACCTTTGAGCTCAGTTTGAAAAAGTCAGAAAAACTAGAGAATAACTGACAGAACCTAATAGTCCTATTGCCTTATAGAAGACACAGGGCTGTTGTCTTAACATCAAACATGTATCAGCCTCTCTGATGCTGAGTAAGTTTGGTTTGTTCAGAATATCTGCCTGAACTGGAAAAACCTGATCAAATCTTTCTCTTTTGTATGTCCACTGTCAGGAGTTGCTTTTTTTTGTCATTCCTCAAATTCTCCTCTTTGCTGCAAACTCTGCAGCGAGCTGAGTGGCCATGTTCCTGTATCATTTTCTCATACTGTTTACACAGGTGCTGGACCCCCAGCGCCACACAACCAGGCAGACCAGCATATTTTTGTTCAGGGAGAGCAAAGTCATTGTAACCCATTTAATCGTACAGCTGTAGTTTTTTCTTAGAGAGCTTCACCAGTCTGTATCTTTAGAATAAAACCAGTCACCTATTTTGCTCATATACACAGAGATGATTATGGTATAATTAAAATTCATTTCAATTTTATTTATGTAACACCAAAAAATGCAACAGCAGTCATTGTAAGGCATTTTATATTGAAAGGTAGATACCCTGCAATAATACAAAAAAATACAATAACACAATGATACAGAGAAAACAATCAGATGACTCACTTTGAACATGAACGTGGCAACAGTGGTTTCTTCCCCTTTAACAGGAAGAGACCTCCGGCAGAACCAGGCTCAGGGAGGGGCAGATGTCTGCTGAATAACTTGACTTTATCACATAGTTTGTAATAAAATAAAGACTTCAAACTTCCTACAAACCATCCATGATGTCTTTTCATTTTGGTCAACACCTACTAAAGCTGGACCCTATCCCAGCTGTCACAGGGCAAAGGGGACAGGTATGGTCAATTTACCATTGGACTGTGGGAGAAAACTAGATTATCAGGGGAAACCATCCAAACGTCACACAGAAACAACCCCTACCAGCCAGTGAATTCAAACCCAACTTCTTGCTTTGAAGCAAGAGTCCTAACCACTGGACCACCATGATGCCCGGTGTCCTCAAACAATGATCTTAAATATCAAAATTTTCCCTTTGGAGTCTTTCCTTCTCAAGAGAGAATTTCTGTTTTTATCCAAATAAAGGGATGAAAGGAAAACTCCCTGATAGAAAACCTTTCTGCCTGTGAATGGTGTAAATTGTAAATTTGTAGCACCATAGACTGATAGTTGTCAATCATTTTGTTTCTCATCTGCTGTTTTATGAGATCTTTTAGTCTATTTCATTTTGTCATTTAACTTGATTCAGTGCTTCTGCCAGTAATCAGGCCTGGCTCTGGCTAGTGGAATTGAAATTTAACCCCGGTAATTCACGATTTAATAGGGCCAGGTAGGTTTGGTTCATTTTCTCTTGAAAAATGAAATAATAATTATAAAATATTGTGTTAATCTTGATTATCTTTTTCTAATATTAACATTTGTTTGATGATCTGACACGTGATTAAATGGGAAGGGGGTGTACGCAGCACTGTAAGCCCCGTGAACCAAAACATCATGCTTCACATTACTTGAGTAGTAAATACTGTATCATTTGAGCAAGCTGAGTTATACTTCATTACACTTTCTCACCACGAGCTATCTAAAATACAGGCAACCAGGCATTATACTTCAAAAGTATGCACAACTCAGTGTTCATTACCAAGACTCAAGGACTTTACTGTTAGGTAATGAAAAACACCCAGACTCTCATTAACTTGATGAATTTGCTTTTTTTCTTTCCGAGATTCTTGTCCTCGCTGCTTTTCTCCAAAAAGCCAGATGGGGGCGATGTAGTCCCAGCTGTTAGATATCCTCTCCCCCAGATATCCCACCTCCGCACTAACTTTGCAGGCTGTGTCCCAGCACAGGTTTCATGTCCTGCACAACCTCCCGCTTCAAACTATATGCACAAGCTCATATAAAATCCATACTTTTCATGATTTGCTTATCCTACATGTTCATTTCATTGGACAATGTTGTTGGTGGGGCAAATCTGGGATTCTTTTCCTCTGTTGCTACCCCTTCTCTTTGTTTAGGGTATATCGTGCTACTCGTTTTAGCGATTTATAACCAATTATCTAATTATTTTATCTATATAAGCCATAACTAATGATAAATAAAGATCCAAGCATGGGATGCAAAAGTAGTGCCATCAAAATGCTCGTCTTGTCCAGATAACAATCAAAAACCTCCGTTTGTTTTACAGTTATCAAAGATCAAAAGCTTAAAGTGAAACGTTGTCAAAGATTTTCCTGATTTTTATCAGGTTACTGACGCAGCAGCACACCAATTTTTCACGCAGCAACTTTGCACGCCACTAATCTCCCTAAATTAAAACCAAGTAACTGAAAATGTATGCATACAAAGTGAACTGTTCATGAACTGTCCCGTCTTTCAACTACATCCTCAAATTACATTAGGAATTAAGGTTTTTAGCTCTACACAGGCAAAGCTGCTGTGAGAAAACTTCACTGGCTTATAGCTGTGAGGAAGATAACTTTGCGGTACAAAATCAAAACACCATTACCATCATCGATTATATGTTCAACTACTGGACAATAAAAGAAGAAGAAAAGAGAAAAGCTTCATTTAGCTTCTCGTGGAGCTTTTTATACCTTAGAAAGCTCTCCTGGGGTAGTGGGCGTGAGGGTAAGGATAAGCACCCGCCGTTATCGCTCTCGCTCTCTCTCAGAGTAAATAAAGGTGGATGTGTAGACTGGAGTTATGACAAAGCACGGGGGAGAAGGACGGAAGGGCTGATCAAACTACAGGATGGAAAATGGGTGGAATTTCAATGAAGGGAAACAACTGAGTAAATTCGCACTTTTGTCTCTGATCTCTCCGATGTTCATGTGTGAAAACACAATGTTTGCATTTTTCCACACTCAGTAGTTTTTGTTTGGTAATTTTATTCAGCACAGATTTTGTGAAAACTACAGGGGGAAGAGAACATTATACTAAAAACTACCCCACATCAGATTCAGAGGTGACATTTGACTCATAAGAGATCCCAGCACCTGGCCTTCTGTATGCTGACATTGTCAGAAAATGGCCTTTCTCTGCCTCTTTCCAGCACAAACATACCAAATCTGTTAGGTGGTGAATCCACATGGACCTAGCAGAGTTCTCCAGGAGCAATGGAAAAGTTAGTGCTGATGGTGTGGATGATACTGGTTATATGTGTGGGGCTATGTGAAGATCAGTGCAGGGGTGGAGTGGTTTGTCAAAATTGCAGTCATCTCCCTCCAGCTCCTCTGCCTGTATCTGTATCTGGGGCGTGTACTGCCTTGGAAAAAAAAACCTCACAAGCTTGCAACTCCTGCAGCTCCTGCGAGCCAGTCCGGATTTTTACCCAGTTAGGGGACACTGATCACCATCAGCACCATCAGCAGCAGCTCTCTCTCTCTCCTTCAAACACCCCCACAGTCTCTCTCCCTCCCTCTGTCCGTGTGTCTATCCCTCTCTATAAGACCAGCATCTCCTTTCTTTGCTCCTCTTGTCAAGCTGCAATCATGTCCTCAAACGGCGCCGACGGGGACCTGCTGCAGATCCCTCTGGGCCTCATCAACAGCGAGGGCAAGTATCTGACTGCGGAAACATTCGGCTTCAAAATCAACGCCTCGGCCAGCAGCCTGAAGAAGAAGCAGACGTGGACCCTGGAGCAGACCGGGGAAGACGACAGCGCCGTGTTCCTCCTGTCCCACCTTGGCCGCTACCTCGCCACGGACAAAGACGGCAACGTTACCGCGGACAGCGAGACGCGCGAGCGGGACTGCCGCTTCGTCATAACGGTGCACGAGGACGGGCGGTGGTCGTTGCAGTCCGAGCCCTACGGCCGCTTCCTCGGCGGCAGCGAGGACCGGATCACCTGCTTTGCGCAGACCGCCTCGCCGGCGGAGAGATGGAGCATGCACCTGGCCGTGCACCCGCAGGTCAACCTCTACAGCTTCGCCCGCAAGCGCTTCGCCCACCTGAGCGCCCGGCAGGAGGTGTCAATAGATCGGGATGTCCCCTGGGGGGTCGACTCCCTTGTGACCCTGGTGTACCGCGATCAGCGCTACCACCTCGAGACTTCTGACAACCGGTTTTTGCGCAACGACGGCAGCCTGTCCACCGCAACGGACAAGGATACCGGCTACATGCTCGAGTTCCACTCCGGGAAAGTGGCATTCCGCGATTGTAACGGTCGCTACCTGGCCCCCATAGGCCCCACCGGCACTATGAAGTCTGGGAGGAGCACCCGG